AATTGTATTATCAGTGTAAGGACTGGTGTACAATGAAATTGTAAATTGTATTATCAGTGCAATGACTGATGTACAATAAATTGTAAATTATATTATCAGTAGAAAGACTGATACATTGATGTTTTAGTGGAATTATATTTTCGGGAAGAAGATGGATGTAATAAGTCCATTATATGCTATACAAGTCATGTTTAGACCAAAAATGATAAGTTTAGAAATATTGTTATTACTGTTCCTTAGGGAATAAAAGTGAACTTAAATGAACTCAGAGAAATAAAATGACGAATATAAATTTGAGAATGAGAAGCCCTATGGATTACTGCAGCCCTTGAATATTCTGGAATAGAAGTGGGTTAGTATTTCTATGGATTTTGTAGTAGCATTGCCGAGAACTTAGGCTGGTTTTGATTTTATGTGAGTTGTGGTAGGCAGATTGATTAAGTATGCATATTTCATTCCAGTCAAGATGAGTTGCTCTATTGAGCAGTTGGCTCGATTATATGTAAAAGAGATTGAGAAACATAAACCCTTTGAATTTTATGAAGGGAATCATGTGTTTATTAGTTTGTCCCCGACTACAGGTTTAGGCGTGCTCTAGGTGTGAGGAAGTTAAGTCCTAGGTTCATAAGGCCCCACCAGATAATAAAGAGGGTCGGACCTGTGACGTATCAGCTTGCCTTACCTCCACATTTGTCTAATTCCATGATGTTTTTGTTTCGCATCAGTCAACTTTTTAGATATGTATCTGATGTGTCCCACATTGTCCAGCAGGACGATAATGAGGTAAAGTAAGATTTGAAATTTGTTGTGGGACCACTGAAAGTTCTGGTTCGCGATGAGAAAGTATTGAGGAACATGGTTATTCTTCTGGTTAAGATACAATGAGAAAGTTTGACTTCTGAGGACGCTACTTGAGGGCGAGAGAATGATATTCTCCAGCGTTATCCTGAGTTTGTCGTCAGGTATGTGTTATGTCTTATGTTTGATTTTGTGGGCAAAATCCTTAAAAGGTGGGGTGAATATAATAACCCTCATTAGTAATTGTGGATTTAGTATTGAAGAATAATTAGAAGTAAAAGAAATAAAGTCACCTTTGGTGAAAAATGAGTTAAAATGACAGTTAAGAGGTAAAAATACGGGTAAATAAAGTTATCCAAAAAGTGAAAGTAAAAATAGAAATATGACTAGAAAAATATTCTAGTCCATTGGGTAAAGTTTGGTTATGAATGGAGGTGTGTAGATAGATAAACCTTTACCCAGTTGGATTTAATTTGACCTATATAAGTGAAATTTCAAAAAAAGTTACTATTCCTTCTTATTTTCTTCTCGCGGACGACAGTGAGGGAGGAAGAGAATGAGATTTTGAAATCCAATCTTCCAAGGCTCATAACTTGAGCTAGAAAACTCCAAATCACTCCGTTCCAAAGCCAAACTTATAAGAAATTTCGAGAAGAATCCATTGGTACCAGTATTTCTGAGTGGGTTTCATTGTAGAGAGAGATCCTCCTCCTCCAAGATTTCGGATTTCATGGATAATGGAGATTTTGATGGAGCTTGAAGCCATGGGAGCTTGAAGTAAGCCTTCCCCTTCGTCTAGTTAAGTTTATGTTGAGAAATCTTGGTTTTCTTTTAGTTTTGAGGAAGATTGAATCTAGGTTTTCATTTTGAAAATTTGGTTTGATTGAGCATGTTAGAGCTTGATTCAGGTTTAGCTCATGTTGAGAAAAGTGTTTAGATGAGAATTTTAACGGTGAAAATGTATTTTGGAAAATTAAAAATACCGTATTTTTGAATAGTGTCGTATACGTGAATAGTGACGCATACATGAATAGTATTGTAGAGATGAACAGTGTCGTATATATCAATTAACGAATCTTGGATTAGAGGTGTGTGATAAGCTTGAATTTGATGGAGTAAAGCATTGAAATCATGAAGTTGGCATGATTTCCTTTATGTGCCTCTTAGCCATTTTCAAAGGAAGTATGTGCTATGAGTTACTGTTTTACAAAGCGAGCATACTTTTATGCGTGGAATGATATTCTAAGGTGTATGGACCTTCGCTTTGGTGAAATAAAAAAGAAAATAAGGTAGCTCCTTTGTATGGCCTTAAAATGAGTTTTGGCCATTTTCAAATGAGGTATATGTTCGGAGATATTGTTTCGCAAAGTGAGGATACTTATATGCGTAAAATAATTTATATTGGTGGCTAAGCTTGGGTTTAGGCACTAGACAAAGAGAAATCTTATAGCTCCTTTGTAATGGGCATTCGGCCTTAAATTGGGAAAAATAGGCTTTTAGGTGCTAAGAGGAGTAATGAGTGTTCTAAAGGCCTTTTGGGACTATCCTAAGACTAAGTGAATATATGGAATTTTGTGGGGATTTGTTGAACAAAGAACCACTCACTCATGACTTAATATGATTAAGTAAAAAGAAAATAAACAATAAAGTGTGTGTCTTGTATATTTACATAGCATTATATCATTTTATTGAGTTTTATGTTGAATTCCTTCTCTAGGTGTACCTAGGGACTGTGAACGTTTGGATTCTCGTGGAGTATGATAAGTAGCTTGTTCTTCAAGTAAGCAGATTGTAAAGTTCAAAGATGTAAGCTCTATGTTTATGGGGTTCGCTCCTACTTTGTGTTCCGCCATAGTGTACGGACTGTGGTCAGGTTGTATGATATGTATGAGATATATGATATAGATGCATTCATATAGAGCTATATATGTTTTGTTTTGATGTATTTACTTTGATATGTGTTAATATGATATGTTTTGTTATGATATGACTTCTGTAATATGATTTCTGTAACAATATCTGGCCATTGATTGTATAGTACCCGGATGTTCGCTTTGGGGTCCTCCCTCGGGACTGATGGTGTACGCCTTTGATATGTTCTGGTTCCGCTTTGGGGTCCTCCCTCGGGAACACGTGCGTTGATTTCCGCTTGGGGTCCTCCCTTGGGAATGACTGCGTACGCCTCTAATATGTTCTGGTTCCGCTTTGGGGTCCTCCCTCGGGAACACGTGCGTTGAATTCCGCTTGGGGTCCTCCCTTGGGAATGACTGCGTACGCCTCTGATATGTTCTGGTTCCGCTTTGGGGTCCTCCCTCGGGAACACGTGCGTTGATTTCCGCTTGGGGTCATCCCTTGGGAATGATTGCGTACGCCTCTGATATGTTCTGGTTCCGCTTGGGGTCCTCCCTTGGGAACACGTGCGTTGATTTCCGCTTGGGGTCCTCCCTTGGGAATAACTGCGTACGTTTCTGATAAGATATGTGTATATGTTTTGTTTGGTTATGATATTTGATTATATGACATGTTTTATGGGATATGTATGATGATTTTGTAAATGATATTTGTTACGTACGTTGATTTCCGCTTGGGGTCATCCCTTGGGAACGATTGCGTACGTCTCTGATATAACACGTTTTGTTCTGATGTGAGTATTGTGATGATTTTTGTAAAAGATATTTGTTACGCGTGTTGATTTTCGCTTGGGGTCATCCCTTGGGAATGACTGCGTTTGTCTTTGATAAGATATGTATATATGCTTTGTTCAGTTATGATAATTGTTTATATGGTGTTTTGTATATTATGTATCTGACTGTCATGCAGGAAGTGAGCCCAGGGTATGGAGGGTTTTCCATAAACCTGGAGTTTACTAGAGATTCGTCTCTAACCCCGTTTGGGGATATGATTTCAGGAACACAGTTAATTGAAGAGCCTCATGGGACAAGGACACTAACCGTGGCTAGAGGTACTAGTATGAGGATGTGGAGTTCTGGGTGGTCGGATGCTACTATTTGTTTTAGACGTATTTTTGGAGAAGATGTATTGTTGCATAGTGTTCATATTCGATACTTGTATATTTATGTATTCAGGCATGATGATATGACTATGTAGTATTCAGTTATGTTATGTATTGGATTGCATGCTATTAGATTTGTGGCACGGAGCCAAGTTCAGCATGCGCCCATAGATGGGTATCTGAGTATATTTGCATGACTGGTACTTCTGGAAATATATATTGTTTAAACTGTCTATCAGGAACTCTTGAGTGTGGGATTGGAAAATCCCCAGTTGTCCGATTTACAGAGGTTACTCTGTCCGATTTTCGTCTCCGTAAAATAAGAATTAAATTAGAAGAAGTATGCAATGTGATATGTCATGTGAAAAAGGATTAAAGAAAAAGAAAAAGTTAGTTCGTATTTTCGTAAGTTAAGTCTTCCGCTGTTTCTGTTTGTATCATATGTATGTTAATTGAACCGGCTCGAGACGGGGATGTTACAGTTAGTTCCTAACAAATTCAAAGTGGATCCACTTAGTTGAAATCGTAATCCCTTATAAATTAAAAAAAGACTCATATTAGTCCCTCAAAAGGACTAAAATGGGTCCACCTTGAATTTGCTAGGGACTAACTGACTAATTTATTTTTGTAAGGGACTAAAGTGGAGACCGTGTTTTTTTGTTAGGGTTCAAAAAAAGGTCTTTGCTCTTTATTTTAATTAAAAATGTGATGAAAATAAATAATGATATGTCAAAATATTAGTAGATATATGTCGGTATAAAATTTCTTTAAACTAACCGCACATATCAATTAAACTCTTTTAGTTTATGCAATGGTTCTGAAAAAGTAATCATTTCGTGCGAAAACAATTAGCAGCTTACATGTTTAACAAAAAAAGTTATATTAAAAAAGAGTTCAAAAATATAAATCCTACAATCAGAAATAATAGTACTATAATATTAGTTGAATATGTTATTACAAATTAGTATCTTAGAAACAACTTATGAAATTACAATAACGTTTGTAAGTTCAGTTAATGTTAAAAGCAAGTTTCATTTGAAGCTATATGTTTTAATATTTTAAATAAATAAAAAAGAAAAAACTTAACGATAGTATGGTTGCTTAATGTACATAAATAAACAAATATTTATTTATTGTAGAAAGCAAAGCGGAGTATATATATATAGGAGGGCTAGAATAATATTACCTGTTAGTGTTTGAGCCACCTCTTGTATTTGGCAACTTTAATTGCTATCATCACATAAATACTGTCAACTAAATTGTTCAATATCCTGAAATAAGCATGTCGGCAAGAACGATTGACTAGAATTGAGCCAAAAATTCCCCAAAAGCCTATAACAAATCCAAATGCCATACTCACGTAAAATCCACGAGTAAACAACAAATGTTCATCTTCATGAGATTTAACTTTTGGTTCATTCGGTGGCTCTGCTTCCATACACAATTTGTCAAGTGGCTTCCCACAAAGATCAAGATTATCTTCATATTTGGAGGCATCAAAGCTCTGTAATTGTGTGCCGATAGGAATTTCTCCAGATAGATGGTTATGTGACAAATCTAACATTGCAAGCCGGTCAATTTGAGCAAGACTGGAAGGAATTGAACCAGAAATCTGGTTTCTTGACAAATCAAGAAATTCAAGTGATGTTAGCCTTCCAATATTTGAAGGAATTTTCCCTGTCAAATTGTTCCTTGATAAATTCAATGAAACCAATCCAAATAAATTCTCCAATTCTGCTGGAATTTCTTCTGAAAAATGATTGTTTGAGAGATCAATGCTTTTTAAAAGAAATAACTGATTATTCTTGAACAGTTGTTCGGCACCTTTCCACATTAAGAATTCATTCAATTCATATGACATTGTGCCTGATTCAGGACCTTGCTTATAATCATATACATGGTCAGGATAATCTCTTGAGGAATTCTTTTGAGCCATTGAAATAAAATTTTTGAAGCATTTGGGAATTGGTCCGGACAGATTGTTCCATGAGAGATCCAAGAGCTGAATGCTTTTTAGAGAACAAAGTTGTAATGGTAAGCTTCCATACAGGTGATTCCTTCCCAAGCTTAAAATTTGCAACTCTTGAAATTCGCCCCCAATCCAAGGAGGGATAGGTCTTGACAATCTATTTTCTGCCAGATCTAGCATTACTAACTTTGTACAATGCCTCAATGAGAAAGGGATCCCCTCATTTAAACTATTGTTTCTCAATAGCAATGCTTGAAGTTCAAGAAGCGATCCCATTGAAGTGGGAACCTTTCCTGAAAAATTATTGTGACTCAAATCTAAATAAGCTAATGACTTGAAATGGCTCCAACAGTCCGGAATCTGTCCGGATAGCTGATTATTTGAAAGGTCTAATTGGGCTAATGTTTCAACTGTACCATTAGCACAAAAAAACTCAAGAGAATCTGAAAACTTATTTATGGACAGATCAAGGGTTACAAAACCCCGCATAAATGTTGGAATGGGGCCTTCAAATTGATTTGACGTCAGAGTTAAAGAAAAAGGAATATTCTTTACAGGAAAATTTGGAATTGTACCTTTGAGATTGTTGTATGAAAGATTCACGTTCGACAACTCCAAGAATGAAAATTTAGCCCAAAACCACTCTGGAACAATATCTGATATTCCATTATGAGAAATGTCAAGATCAATGATGTTATTTTGTGTCTGCAACCATTTGGGAAATGCAGGACCTAGCTTGCAAGATCTCAATGTTATGGAATGTAATTGAAAAGATGGAATCCAGTTTTTGCTAAAAGCTACAGTCAATGAGTTGTCAGATAAGTCCAATGACTCTAACTTAGACATATTAGCAAAATGGGAGTCACTGATCACACCTTCCAAAGAGTTTGAAAAAATAACCAGTGAAACCAATTGAGTTGGAAATCGAATATCTTCAGGAATCTTGCCATTTAACCTGTTATCATGAAGATATAATCTTTTTAAAGATGAGAATATTGAAAGGTCAGGCAATGTGGAGTTTATTCATGCTCAGATCCAACTCATCTAGTGAATATCTAGCACATCCAGACAAGTGATGGATTATTGTAACATCCCCGTCTCGAGCCGGTTCAATTAACATACACATGATATAAACAGAAACAGCGGAAGACTTAACTTCTGAAAATACGAGCTAACTTTTTCTTTTTCCTTTTTAAATTCTCATTCGTCGTAAACGAAAATCGGGCAGAGTTTCCTCTATAAATCGGACAACTGGGGATTTTCCAATCCCTCACAGAAGCATTTCCTGATAAACAGTTTATACAAATATAATCAAATGTCCATCCATGGGCGCATGCATAACTTGGCACAGTGCCACTATATCTAACAGCATGCAATCCAACACGTAAACATATCTGAATACTACCTCATCATATAACGTGCCTGAATACCCAAATGTACATGCATCAAAGCGACAGACATGTACAAAACATATACAGGCCATATACACAATAAAGGATCAATATCATGATCCATCAAATGCGAAAATACTAAAATACATCAAACACTCCAAAAAGGTAGTAGCCTACAGCCACTCAAAATCCAATCTGTCAACTGCCTCAGCCACGTGTCGTGTCCCTGCCTAGTGAGGACTCACCGGGAATCTGGGCACCTGAAAATATGTCCCCAAAGAGGGGTGAGATTACAAATCTCAATAAGCTCCAGGTTTATAGAGAATTCTCCATACCCCTGGCTCACTCCTGCATGAAAGTCAGATACAGAGTATACAAATACAACATATAACAAATATCATAACAGAACAGAGCATATATCCATATCATATCAGAGATGTGCGCCGTCATTCCCAAGGGAGGACCCCAAGCGGAAATCAACGCACGTGTTCCCGAGGGAGGACCCCAAAGCGGAACCAGACATATCAGAGGCGTACACCATCAGTCCCGAGGGAGGACCCCAAAGCGGACATCCGGGTACTATACAATCAATGGCCAGAGATTGTTACAGAAATCATATTACAGAAGTCATATCAGAGCAAAACATATCATGTTATCAAATAACTCTATATGAATGTATAATAGCCCTAACCTAATTAATTAGCAAATTGCATGTAATTAAATAATTAAGCATGTTTTAATGAGTAAAATTAAGTATAAGGCTTAATTAAATGAATCTGAGTCACTTTGAAGTTAAAAAGTGTACTCAGTGAAAATTAAGGGGTATAAATGGGTACTGGCGAAAGTGCCCAAAATATAAAAATAAAATTGTAAATATTCCTAGAATAATATTCCAGACTTTTGGGTAAAGTTTGGTAATTATTGGAGTTAAATAGATAGACGAACCAATACCCACATGTTACCACTTAACCAATGTTAAGTGGTAAAACACCAAAAAGAACCCCTCATTTCCCACCCAACCCGTCGAACCAGAAAGGAGAAGAGAAGAGAGGGAGAAGAGAGGGAAGAAGAAAAGGGAAAGAGAGAGAGAGAGATCAAACCTTGATGGTTTTGGATGATTCAAAAGCCTAAATCGCTTAGAATCTCGCCCTCTTTCATAATCCAAGCTTAGTTTTAAGTGGGGAGCTTTGTGTGGTGGGATATTGGCTCTCAAAAATTCGGCCCTTTGGAGAAATTTGGGGTTTTGAGAGTTTCTACCTCCATTGAAGCTTGAGGAGTCATCAATCCTTGGTTGTGTGACCATTGGTGGTAAGATTCTAACCCTTGAACCTCATGATTCCTTGAAATTTGCATGAGTTAGGGTTTGTGAATAGTAAATTGGGATTTTTATGAAATGTAGTTGAATTAGCTATGTTCTAGGAAGAATGGAGCTTAGAGCATGTTATGGAAAATGCTAGGAATGTCATTTAATCGGTGGAAATGAGCCTAGATGGTCATTTGATAATTGTTCATAATATTGGAAAATTCATGCTTGGATTGGTTAGTATTCTAGCATGTTGAACAATTAGTGAGTTGAATGATTGATTGGATCCTTGTGATGTCTAGGATTGAGACATTTGGACCAACCGTGAGTGATCAACCATTGGAGCAAGCTATGGAGCTTGAATAGCTCATTGGAATTGGTAAGCTCATACTTGGGTTGTGCTTTGAATTGAGTAATTGATGGTTGATTGTGAAATACTCTTGGATGCAATGTGTTGATTGCATTACACCATGTGTAGGTGTATGTTTGTAAAAGTTGATTGCTGAAACTGTTGGTGAAGAACAAAGGTCGACTGAAGCATTGAGGTAAGCCTTCGGACCTTGGGTGTAATTCCCTTGACTGTTCTACCAAGCCCTGAAAGGGTGGAGGTTGTGATTGTGTATATAAATGCAATAAAATAGTGTAATGCTTTGTTATACGTATGTGTATGCATTTGGTGTGGCATAGGATGGTGTTTCCCTATGTTGGTATGTGGCATGACGATGCGTAAATCATACTTGGTAGTTAGCTGGCCAGTAGGACTATTTGCATCTGAGTTTCCTTAGGACAGCTTGAGAGCTCGAGGGATTTCTCCTGGAGATGTATTGCACTTTGCATAGATATGTATTTACTGCATTATTATTGTTATTGCTATTACACTGATATGGAACTGTGGGGTGGAGAGATGCTCCAAGGACCCCTGGTTTACTGGATATATTCGTATATCTCACCCCGTGTTGTGGGGACCCCCTTTCAGGTAAGGATGCTGCAGGAGCCTCTGGTGGCAAGTGGCCATATCTGGATTATGCATGAAATGTGGCATTTCTTTTGAGATTGTACATGTTGTTTTGTAGCTCACATGTATAGAATTAAATGAATAGGCAATGCTAGATTTATGATTTGTATATTGGAATGGACTTAGCCTATGCTCATGCCTTTGGTCATCTCTTTTGTTGATGAGAGCCAAGGGAATGATCATAGTATTTTGTAAGCTAAGTTCCATGATTTGTAATGGGTATGTAATGTAAATGATGCCACTTGAAATTCAGATATGCATGCTATCATGTATTGAGTTGTGAATTGGTTGGGCTGAAAATCAATTAGGTACCCTTTTGTTTAAATTGGTAAACGATGAGAAAACAAAGGTCATGCTGCCCAAATTCTAGCTAAATCTCATGAGGAGAGGTTGGATGAGTGCTAGGATTTAGTTTTGGGGCATGGACAATTGGGGTTTGTAATGGGGATGCATTTTCCCCTAGGCTTGGACTTGAGAAATGTGGGAATTGGAATTCCCTGGCAGCGCGCTTAAGCGCCCAGGAGCGCGCCCAAGCGCCCTGCTGCCCCTGCGAGTGCCAATGCATTCTGCCTCCTCGCGCTGGAGCGCCCAAGTGGGGGCTTAAGCGCCCAGGATTGCGCGCTGGAGCGCCCTGGCCCGCGCTTAAGCGCCCTTAGCCACTGTAGGAGGAAATGCTTCTGTCTCTGCGCGCTAAAACGTCCCAGTGGGAGCTTGAGCGCCCAGGCTAGCGCGCCTGAGCGCCCTGTTGCGCGCTTAAGCGCCCATCCACACTGGAAATGCTAATGCTTACTGCCTCCGTGCGCTTAAGCGCCCAGATGGAGGCTTTAGCGCCCGATAGCGCGCGCTTGAGCGCCCGGGAGCGCGCTGAAGCGCGCTGGGCCTGTGACCAACACTCTCTTGTGTTGCTTCAAATGGTCCTAACTTGGGCTACAGTGCTCCGATTTGAGCACGGTTTGAAGCCACAGGTAGCTAATGAAGAAACCTACAATATAGTAGAAGTGTTGAACTAAACAAGAAGTAAATTAATGGTTTAAAAATGGAAAATGAACATGATGTTAAGCTTAATTTATCTGTTTCCGCAAGGTAATACGGTTATGATCACGAAATTGGGTATTATAAGTTCGGTACGTTTTAAAATGAAAATTTATCCGAATTTTAATTGAACCCATGTGATTGTAACTGCGCTTAATATCATAATGAGATGTTAACAAACCGGTTCTAGAACGGGGTGTTACATTTTATGGTATCAGAGCAGTTTCGTCGGAAATTGTTAAGCATGCTTAGTGTTTGATGCTTTATAGTTGTTTTAGTACTCTGTATGATTATTGCATTTGTGATCACTAAGTGTGGGCCTGATCAACTCACTTCTTTGTGTAACATGTGTAGTGACATGACGAGGAACCGAAACAACCCCGGACCATCAAACACCAATGCTCAGCCAGAACCTGTTTTGGCTGCTCTTGTGAGGCCTAGAAGTGGCCGTGGGGCAACGGGCGTACAGCCTGATCCCGTGGCTGAAGCTCTTGCAGCCGTTCAGAGAGAGTTGGCTGCTAGCAGGCAAGCCAATGAAAATTTGTTAAAGACAAATGAAGACTCGCGGACTGCCATGGCCGCAATGATGACTGAGCTGAGGACGTTGAGGGGTCCTAGGCCCGTGAACCGGCAACCTACTCCTCCTCCTCACACTGCTACGCCTTCTCCACCTCCTTCACAGGAAGAAGGTGGAGTGGGTAACAATGAGGGTGAAGGTAGTCACCACTCCGGAAGTCGGAGTCATCACACTGAGGTTCGTCAACCTCAAGTTGAAAATGTCGGTGATCATGAAATGGAGGAAAGGAGACTGATGGCTTTCCAAAACATAAACCTCCTTCTTTTAAGGGAGGTTATGAGCCAATGGCGGCTGCAAAATGGCTCCAAGCTATGGAGAAGATATTCAGGGTGATGAGGTGCCCTGACGCGATGAAGTTGGCTTACTCTGTTTATATGCTGGAAGAGGAAGCAGAAGATTGGTGGACAAATACCGTGCAGCCATTAGAAGCTGAAGGTCGGGAGATCACATGGCGGTTATTCGAGACATTGTTCTTGGATAACTACTTCCCTAGAGAGGCTAGGGAACAAAAGCAGAATGAGTATAACG